TGACTGCTATACTCTTTCCCGTATAGAGGCTGTACCATCAACTTCGGGTGAACGTACATCTCAAATTCAGAGAAAGGTTAACTGGGTGACCTTGAATCCTTATGGTGAAATACCACAGCATAATGAAGGCAGCAATGGAACCAAAGACGGGCAGCAAAAATACAGTGAAAATGTAACAAATCATGTTTTGCCTACATTTGAATCCTTTGACTTTAAAAGGAGTGATGTGATGGAAGAAGATGTCATGGGCTGTGAACCAGGACTTGTTTACTTTGAAGTAAGATTCTTGCCATGCTAGTTTAAATTTGTTTATGCAAAGTGAGTTATTATTTCGAGGATATGTTATCACTTTTTTGAAGTATTAGTTTTCCATGCAGAAAACACTATTTTCTCACTGTTTTATAAATAAAAGGAAATACCCTTTTCCTGGTCCAGTGAAGTTAAACCTCTCCAAAAAATATTGCATAGTAATAAATAAATAAATAAATCTTTATTCTGTTGCCAAAACATATTTTTAATGTCCTTTATGTTGTTTTCTAATGTTCTTCTAGTGCTAAGACTTTTACCTCCTTGATCATTCCCATTTTCCTTCTACTGGTAATGTTCTTAACAAAAAAACAAAAAAAAAAAAAGGAGGAGAAACTCTTTGATCATTCCCATTTTCTTTTCTTGAGATATACTCTAGAGAGTTGAGTGTCTAACTATAATCCCTTCCAAAAGTTTCATCTTCGCCTCAATGTGAAAATCTGGAAACTGCTTCAGTGCTTCTGTATTGTCTCAACTGTTTTATTTTAACCTCTCACTGGAATCTCTTCCATTCTACTGATATCAATGAAGATGCATCACTGAAATCTCCTGCCATTAAGATGCATCATAGATCATGATAGGGGTTGGTTTTCTGACTGAAAAAGTTTATAGAGAATGCTCTGGCACTTCCTTTTTTGCATGTTCCCAAGAACTTTGGCTCATTTGTTATAGTTAGATACCTTATCCTGCATTCCTTGTAACTGCTGTGGACAACTTTGTATTGTTTCATTAGCCTTTTTAATGAAATTCACGATACTTATGACAGTTAATTGCTTGGGTCTTGCTGATATCTATGTCAACTATTTTTAAACATTTACTGTGGATAATCATTTTTAAAGTTTAATAGTCATGCAGTATCAAGAGAATACCCCTAAATTATAATGAAATCGATCATACAATATGCCTAACGTTGTTTAGAATCTGAATGAACAGCATACACTACTGATATTTCATTTTTCTTCCATTTGTATTTCATAAATAATAAATAATTATGATTCCGTATATTTTCAGGATGGGTCTTATTCTCGAGGTCCTATGGATATTCCAGTGGGTGAATCATCTGATGACACAAAGTACTATATCACACCAACTTTCAAGTTTGAACAAGTATGTCTTGCATGCAACTTACAGAATATCATATTTATAGATCCTTCCCTAGTGTCAATTGCTATTTCTACTTCTGTCTTAATTATAAGCAACAAATTATATTTTTCCTTGGTCCTAAACTCCTAATATAAGCAACAACAATCATCGGTTTTCAAAATTACTCAGGAATAAATTTCATTTATATTCTTAATTTATTATTAATTCTATTTTCTATGTGTTCACTTATTTCTTATGTAGTAGGTGTCTACTAAAGGGTATCTCTAGAATAAAATTTGAATTTATGGTGGAATTAATTAAAAATAACTAATTCAACTACTTTTTTTGATCTTGATAATTTGTCTCATATTTCTCCAGCAAGAGTTATAATTTCTTTTGTCACAATTTCTCCTTTTCTAGTGCTTGGTTAAAGGCTGCCACAAAAGGATCCGAATCATCCATACCATAGAATTCATTAATGGTGGTTCGGACATACAGATAATGAGAGTCGCTGTGTATGAAGAAGAATGGGTCAGTCCTGCTTCCATTGATGACCAGAGGTACTTGTTCTTTATTTTCATATTGTTCCAATTCGTGACTATGAAGCACTTATTGACATTCAGTTAAACACAAAATACCATGCAACTGGTAAATGTGAAGTGAACCCAACAAATTGGATTTAAAAGATAAATTAACATGATGTTTAATGCAATATGACATGGATCCTGGCATGTGCATTTACTTAGTTCCTATTTGAATAAACTTTTCTTTAAACTCTCATAAGAGAAAAAAAAAAGTTTAGAGAAAATAAGCTATAAGAAAAAAATTTAACTTTAAGAAAATAAGCTATATATTGATAGTGTAAAATAGTTTTATACTATCATTCAATCACAAACAATCAAGTGTGTAAAGTTTATTGACTTTTATAATAACTATCTTAAAAGTTACACTAACAATGCATGATGATTAAACCCTTAAGTTTATCTCACTTGAAAAGTTAATGTAAGAGAACTTTTATAAAGCTTGAAGTGTATAAGTTTATTTTAACTTATGGACAAAACTTGATTCATTTCACCTTCACATTTTCTTCATATTTGAGTGCTTATTGTTAAGTTTATCCAACCATGCCATTATAGTTTGTCATTTTCCTTTATCTTGAGTTCAAGAAAATGACTAGTGCTACATTTGAAACAGTGATGACATGGACTTCGAAGTAAAGCCATTGTCACAAAGAAAACGAACAAAACCATCGGACCTGACAGGGTCATGGAAAGTCTTTGAGGTCAGTGCAACTCCTGTGTATGGCGAGGAGGAGCGGCTTGACCCGGAAGAAGGCAACAGCCACGCCCTATTTGTGTACCTTTGTATGGAAAATCTGAAGAAGAGGAGCCTCCCTGAGAATACAAACTACTTCGGAGAGGAGGAGCGGCTTGACATGCAGGATGTGACCATGCTATGGCTTCCTGGGGGTGTGACATGCTATGTTGACATCAACAAAGATGGCATTCTTTGTATTGGAGTTGGTTGGTACTCTGATGAAGGGATCAACCTTGTGATGGAGAGAGACTATGGGTTGGATGGAACGCTTAAAGAGGTGAGATGGAAATCTGAGGTGAAGAGAAGGTGGTCTAGTCCTCCTCCAATTGAATAGATTATGGGAATTAGAGGCTTGTAAATTACTTAATATTAGTATATGAGAAATGCAAAGTAAATTCAATGTTATACATGGTTCGAGTATAATGATGTTTTGCATGTGTTTTTATCATCACTTGTCTGTTTTGATTTTTGGTTTGTTATACATAGTCCCATTTTTTACATGAACAGTGAACCGTTGAGTTTCAACTCCACCCAATTTTAATGCTCGAAATTCCGCATCCTATTGTTTTTGCTTTTACTTCTTTCGGTGTGTTCTTGCACGGCCAATCACACACCACACGCCAATTTGCAGAGTTTACATTCTTTTATTAAGTCAACTTCTTAAACTAAAATATGAAAAGAAAAGAAAAAGTAAAATTCTTACCAGCCGTGGGACTTGAACTCGCATGCTGCAGAAAATTTAAGAAAGTTGAGTTTAATTTAACACATCTAGCTTTGTATGGTGTTTTTTCATGTATTGCTTTGTATAAAAGAAAAACGAGAAATTTTAGATGAGACTTGAATTTAGATGAATGTGATTATTTAATTAGTTATTTTTGACATTTTCATTCCTATTTTAAAACCAAAAGAAATACAATTTGGGTTTTTAAGTATATTAATAATAGCCACAATGAAGTTAGCCATTATATACCAAAAAGACAAATTGTACGTCTTCTTTACAATAAGATTTGGCTCTTGTATATATAATGTATCCAATTCAGATTTTAATATTAAATTGATACTTATAAAATTCATTAAACTCAATTTGACATCTTAGTTCCCAATCATGTTTTAGTCTTCAATTTTAGCTATAACTACAGCTTGACATTGTCAGAAAAATTACGATTAAAATTTCGAAACAGTTTTACGTAGCACTTAAGTATGTTATATTCAGTACACTTTATCATCGACTTTTATTAAATTCTCTTTTTTAGTAAGCTGACTTTTTTTAAAATGATCGTTAGAGTAGAGATTATAAAATTTGTTTGAACGTAGAAACTCGTGGAAATAAGATGAGAAGAACATTTTACGAATTACAGCAATAGAAGGATAAATACAAAAAATATGTTGAAGTTCTACATTTAAGCAGCTTAAACAAGTTACAAGTTATCACACTGCTACCTTCTCTGAAGTAGTCATATATACAGACAAGAATAACAGGTATAGAAAACCCTCTTATGGGTCAACCACCTTCTGGTACAAAAAATTAACAACTAGTTATGCGCCAGTTGCTGCTAACGAAAATACCTGCACTTGATGAAACTGATCTCAGATTGCTTTAGAAGCTGCAGCTTCCGACCTTAGAGCTCGATTAATCATCCTTTGCTTCCTTAGGGACTCATTACAAGAATCAAAGAATTCATGTCTTAGAACTTCTTCTGCGCTAATTCTATTTCTTGGGTTTACTTTTAGACACTTGTCTATTAAATCAAATAACGATTTCGGGATTTGCTCAAGAAATTCTGGCCTCTTTGCGTGAATCTTACACCAGCTTTCAAAGTCCCATGACTGTAAGTAACGCTCATCAAGTAACTCCTGCAATACAATGGATTTTAACTAAATCACTTGCTTGATTTACCATATTCAAAAATAAGAGAACTGCTTTTCTTAGTGCTAACCTCAGTTCAGAGTCATTAAATTAAAATTATAGTTTCAACAGTTGATTACAAATAGGGGGTTAAACCAAAATGAATTTCGTGCAAACAATCATCTTCAGACATTATCCAGCTGAAATTATGAAGTTTGACCAATAATCTCTAGCGGGACACACCGACACTGGTTAAAGAATTTAATATGCTTGAAATCAGAAGCATAAGAATACTTCATTTATAACTATAAGTTAGCATTAAACTTAAATAAAATAATAAGAACATTTTAATTTATTCGCAGACTAATTCGGTTTTAATTTTTTTTAATTATATTAGTGTTTTCAAAATAAGGATTAAAAGGAATTACCGCAGGAAAAGATAATTCACGGTCATGTAGCTTGGCCACTTCCCAAAACTCTTCACTGCCCCGGAATTTAACAATTTCTTTTATATTCCTGCAACAAAACTAAGTCAGCATGGGAAGACAAAAATTCATCACAACTGAATTTTGATGGTGATATTTACTGTTCTGGGTCGCCGGTGAAAGGAGTCTTCCCGATCACCATGTAGAGTAGGGTGACTCCAGCTGACCAAATATCAACCTTAGGTCCCTGATGCTGAGACCTTAACAGAACCTGAAAAAAGGGTAGAACTTTGAATTAAAACTACTGAAAAACATGGCCATACATTAATTATAGGACAGTGAAATAAGATCTCTAGGCAATAAACTTCAAATGTTGCATTTTGAATGTGACACATCCAGTGCAGTGATGAATCTAAATCAAGGGATATTTAACAGGTTTTTGCTAGGAATGGAATTAAATAAGCCAACTTTTCGGAGGTTAATTTACTTTCCATTCAATTACAAAATTATTATATTTCAGATTTTGAAACAAATATCAAATATGTAAATTGAATAGATCACCAATTAAGCTTTTTATAATGAAGCTTTTACAGCTTGAATGCAGTATGTAAACTGTTGAACTTAAATATTAAATCTTACATTGTGTAGTGCCTACCTTTTCCGCCCAAGGGAAGTTATAGTTTGAATTTGAAATCTGATAACGTAAAATAGAGACCCATACCCTCAAGGTGAAACGATATTTTGGACTAATTATTGACTACAAATAAATTATTCAGATCATGGACATCTCAGTTGGCCTTACAAACCATGTTTGAGATGAAGGGTATCTTGTCGAAGTCATATGACTCAAATTTCCGATAATTAAGTTTTTCTAGCCAGGAGACCATAATTTGTACCACTACCAGAATGAAATGGTAAGTATGGATACTCAAACCTATACTGCATCCAGGAAACTAGCTTCCAGTTGAAATTTAAGCCATAGTGTTCTAACAAACCGTAAATAGTTTAAGGGATATAGGGTATCCCTGAGTAAAAATAGTAATTTCTTTCCCGTAGGGAAATGCATCACATTTACTTTCCTTATAGTATAAATTCAAGTGCTAATATGTTGCTTACTTCGTCTTCTACAAGCATCTGGAAGTGGCACTAGCTATGTATAGATATTATTTGTATTTCGATCAACATAAAATGGCCCCTCTAAGTGCGTTAAAAGATGTAAGTGAATGGCATCGGCAGCAAGATGTTACCTCTGGGGCACGGAATCCTTTGGTTCCAACGCATGAACCTTCTTTTTTCTGTTTTCCATCTCCTGCGTAGCACATCAACAGTTAGTATTGCTGAAGGTAGCAATTACTCTCCTCAAAATTCAAGTTATGAAATTAGAGTCATACCTTTGCTTCTCAATAACCCCCCAGCAACAGTAGATGAATGCAGAGGCCTCGGCCTAGTCTAAAAACCTTTCCCAACTACCCTGCCTGACGGGGCAGTGACCCTTTTCCTTTGAGAGGAAGGACCTATAGTTGAACTGTTGTTTGCACATTGCATAGAATCCTGCACAAGGCTGATAAGCTCCTTTCTTCCTTTGGAAGGTAAAGGTTCCCTGAGCCTCTCCGCAGAAGCAGTTCTAGTGCTAGCATCTTTCGTAGAGGTTATACCTGAGCCATCTGTTCCTTGTGCTCTAAGTAAACTCCCACCAGCCTTGTCAGGACGATTTTTCAGAGCATAAGCCTTTTGCTTTACATGTTTATTAAGTTCAGAATAATTCTTATAATCTGCCAACGCCCTTTTGCTGGATGTTAAAGACTTGCTGCTTCCAAGGTTTTTGTTTTGGACCAAAAAGGCAGAACTGGAAGAGAGAGAAACATTATTGGATGACGCATCAAGGCTTGGTTTTGATTTACCTGAACAAATGCGCAAATTGACAAAACTAATTAAGATTGTATTTATATTACAAGGAACATTGACGGTAAAACTTAACTAAGGAACATTTGAAAGCAAGAAATATAATTCAGGTAGAAGCCAAGAAAATATTTTTTTTTTCTTCAAAGAGTTGAGTATGTTGTCTTTAAGCTTGAGTTTAATTAACCACGTAACCAAAGAGGCGCCTAGTCATATTTTATTAAAATTACAAGTATCAAGAGAAAATCAAATATTCAGGTAGTTTTTCTAGTTCTAAAAAAGTATAGGTGAATAGAAATCTTACTTCCGTTGTTGTACTTCTGCTTTAAATCCTGGAAAGAAAATATCAATATTCATCAGATCATATTTATATTAAAATAATCGGTCAAAACTCTTGATAAGCAGAGAGAGAGAAACCTAACCATGGCAAGGTTGAAATCGATAAGGTATCCTTTGTTTAGCTTTCGAGAGAAAAGAAAGTTTCCAGGTTTAACGTCTCTGTGAACAACTCCCTACATTTAATAGAATTTGAATTCCTCAAAACAATTGTATTTATTGATTGTCGTTTTAGTCAACTTCTCATGAGACTGATTATGCAAAGGGGAAAATACCTCTTTGTGCAAGCAATAAAGAGCCCTGAACATGCAATACCCGTACCACTGAAGCTGAACTATATCGATTTCTTTTTTCAAAACCTACAAATTGAGAAGGGAAAACTATCTTCAGTAAACATAAATGCAGAGAAGTTTCGAGTATTCTCATGAGCCAATTAAATTAAAATCAAGATTAAAAAAATACATTTCTTGCATATCTTTTCCAAAACCCAAGACTATGTTTAGATTGGTGGTAGAGGGTGAAATGGATAGGAATAGTCGAAGGAGTTGTTTCACTGTTTGGTTTGTAAAAACAGGAATGGAATTAGCTTTAATAAAGATCGAGAATTTGCTTCATTAAAGAGGAATTCCAGAGAATGTTAGGGCTCCTCTCGTGAGCTAATCAGTTTAATATTCGGAAAGGCTAAACGGGGGATTCATCTCCTAAACTCAATTCATTGTTAAATAAAAAAATTTAAATGTAAAAAACCGAAAACAGATATTTTTTTTCCTGATGAAGAAAATCTAAAGTAGACAGCTTCAGCAATTACCTCAGGTCTGTCATGCTCAACATGTTCTAAAACAAAGCAGTCGCTGCTGCCATCTTTTAAAGAACCTTCATACCTTATTATGAAGTTTTTACCACTGCATCATGAAAAAAAAAAAAATAACAATAGCAGAAACGCATTGCAGCCTAAATGTAACAAATATACTGTTATGTTATACACTTACCCAAAACGCTCGAGCATATTCCGTTCATTATTTACATGGCTTTTATGAGCATTACTATGAGGACCTGCAAAATCACACGTATATATTGGAGCATGAATATCAATTTTTTGAAAGCCATTTCGCTAATCAGAGTAAATTAGCATTAGTAATACCAAAATGCTTACATATAAAGAATTGCAAATAATGGACAAATAAGTAGAACTGGATTCTAGTAGACAAATAAGTAGCTTCACTTTCTAGTATTATGCAAATAATGGAGACTTTAACCATTTTCCATTTCTTAATCATAACACTAAAAGTACAGCACACATTTAATATAAAAGATAGGTATCACTTACATTTTATTGCAACCCTTTTTCCATCATTAGTTCTTTGAGCACGGTAAACGGTGCCATAACCACCTAGATAAAAAAATAAGAGATGTCCAAGCAATTTAAATATAGATTTATTTCATCAGTGAGGAAGTGGACGAGAAAGAGTCCTTATACCTGAACCTTCTTCTTCCTCTACTGTAAAAGCTTCAAATGATGGATATGTTTTTCTCTCCACCTGATTCAACAGAATAACCAAAATGGATAAAGTGAGCATATTATACATCTTAATCAAACAGTCAAAATGAGCCTAAAAGCATCTTCTGAAGCATGACTTTAAAACCACAGGTTATTCCAAACTACAGCTCTTAGTGTAAGCAGCTCACCTTTGGAGTCATGGCAATAGTTTCTGCCATGTTCTCTTTTTGCTTCCTTGCTGCTGGTTTCTGATCATTTTTACATTGATCAACATGTTTTGGAACATTACCAAATTTATTGCAGGCTAGTGACTCTTTGAGAATTTGGGACTGAGGGTGTAGATCAGTCTTCCGTCCTCCCTTTAATATGCAAGAAGATTTCAAAAGCTGCTTTGGGTTTGAACAGAACTTATCTATTTTATAAGTAGACTTGGTCACTGTGTTTCTCTCACTCTCCTTTTTATCCAAATTTATTGAATGGACACGGTTCTTTTGTTCCAAACCATTAGTCAATTCTTCTCCATATAGAGCAGCATTGACCATCTGAGCAACATCTTCCTTGTCTATATTTGTGCCAGAACCAATCAACCCATTTTTTGAACAACTTTCCATCTCATCATATTCATTAGATTCCCTTGGTTGATCTTTGCAGGTGTTACTTTTACAAATACCATCCTCATCCACATGATGAATACTGTTTTGTTCGGTACATTCAAGCATAAATGTGTCAAAATGATCCGTTTTCTTCCCAAATTCAACACTACTAACAACACCTGCTTTGCATAAAGAGGGATCCGGGAGAGCACGGTCAACAAAGTGATTACATTCCATGAATCTCTTTATGTCCGCTAGCTTCGGACAGTTTATGTAGCTTGCTTTGATAATAGATTTAGAAGCCTCTCCATTAGACATGCTTGTGCTAGCTTCATTATTGGCTCCCCTATATTCAAAATTTGGCACTGGACAACCTGAACACTCGCCATCTGTACCAATACACAAGGGGAATGCAAAATTCCCGCTACCTATATTTTGTGATTCAAATTTTATTACAGAGATATTTCTTCTCATCAGAGCCTCTGCAGCATCAGCAAAACTCTGCACGCCAAAGAAAATCGGTACGATATTCGGCATGAAATACAATGATTGATGACTAATGATATATATATATATATATATATATAGGGCTGATTAAGGCTGCATTCGTTTAAGCTTTGAAATAACAAAACGCTTTATAATATAGCTTTTTGTTCTTACGTTACTTATGAGAAAAGCACAAAACAATTACTATGGTTTTTTCTTAAATTAAAAATTAAAAAACTAACCGAACTATACATTCAGAAATTGAAATTTACTATTATTAATAATAAACAGTCGAATATAATAGATTTTACGTCTATAGTTTTTCGCCTGACTCTAATGCACCCTGCATGCAAGAAAATGAAAATCACTCTTAATCAAGTAAGTGGCAGTGACCAATATCAAAGGTACACACCAGTTAACAAAGTCTCTAAGCCTATTGGTTGTAAGACTTGCCCTGGAACACAGGGGCTCAACCCCATGCTCCTAGGTTCAATTCTCGTCTATGTTAAAATAATGTTTGATAAGTAGAAACCACATTCCGTGGACATATTAGTCTTTGGTTGTCAACTTTGAAGTATTGTGTAGATTATGTATATAAGAAAAAATAAGTACACACCAGCTAATCAAGTTTATTAACAATGTATTATTAAACATCATTGTTATTCACTACACATTAAAATTATTTTATCATCATTATTCACTGTGCTTACAATGAAATGAAAGGCAACCAAACTATACCCTAAGAAATTGAATTTTATGAATAATAATAAACTCAAACACTCCAACTAAATATTTGTGTTTCTGACCACTAGGATTAGTCTAGTGGTTGAAAAGAAAGAGTTGAGGTAGTAGAAGCATAGAAACCTATGTTCAATTTTATTGTGACCATCTCTGTAATCACTTCTATCTTAAGTATACCGTTGCTGTCACATATCACAGGCACTCACTATAATGAATAAAATTTACAATTCTGCGTGCATACAACCAACAACACACAAAACAATAAAATATGTTTTTAGTTTCAAAGTTATATCATCTAAATCTAATCATGTTAAAAACAACTAGCTTAATTTTATGTTAATATTCACACTGGCACAGAAATCGTACTCAAGAATGATATTTGAGATAGGCTTTGTATTTGATAAAAAAATAAAAAATTTCAGTGTGTTTTGACTACTGACTTGTACTAGCAACAAAACCTTTTAAACATAAATCACATTACTTCAAAATTGGTTTTAACTAAAATCAAGTGTTTGAAAATGTGTTCACAAGGAGCGAGCCCCGCATCAGATTGAATTAAACACCTGAAAATTTTGCAAAATTAATTTTATTCAAAACTAATTTTGCAAATGCTGACCTAAAAATACCTGGAACGAAAATTCTCGAACTCCATTACGAATCGCTAACCTCTTATATTCTCTTCTATCTGCTGTCACCGAAATCTCAAATCAACAACATAAAATAAACAAAAGAAACTAAAATTAAACTACAAATTAATAAATAAAAAAGAGGAACAAAAGTGAACCTTCGCCGGAATCGAAAAGCAGTTTGCGTTTTCTGAAACTGTGCGTTTGCGACTGCGGCGAGAAGCGGAGGGAGAAGAAGCTTCCGAGAGCGAAGACGGCGCGAACAGAAGGCGTGACGAGTCCGTTATCGGTGAGGGAGAGAGGGGAACCGCGGAGAGTGGTGACGTGGCAGACGAATTCCGGCGTGGCGGCGAATAAACGACACTGCGCAGCGAGGCGCTGAGGGTAAACGGCGTGGCCGATTCGGAGGAGGAGCGCGAGGAGGTGCCACGATTTCTCTTCGAGGTCGAGATCGTGTTCGATTTCGGACTCGGCCATGGATCGAGACTCGGATCTGTGTGCAATGCGAAGAGGTTTAGAGAGAGAGAGAGGAGCGGGAAGTGAAGTGAAGCGTGTTTTGGATTTCAGAGGGTTTTGTGTTTTTCAGGATTTTCCCGCTTCATTTTTGGGGGTACTTGGGTGAGGTGCGTGAAATGTGGGACACCGGTGATGCGCAATTTTTGAGCGTTGGATGTTACGATGGAATAATTAACGATTTAGATTTTCTGCTGGTACAGTCGATATTTTAAAATTACAACTTAAATCCCAACTTTTTCAATTGGTCCTCCAGTTTTTTTTTTTCTCGGTGAATGGCCCTCCTCTTTGGTAATTATTACTATAGAGAAAAAGTACCGTATAATGTAAAGTGTTTTTTTTAACATGACTCTCTGGAAATGGATTAATTGTGGAGAGAGAATAATATTTACATGATTTTAAATTAGAATCTTTTATAAATATTATAATTTTAATTAATAAAAGAATATATTTTTTATATTATGTTCGATAATAAATCATCATATATATAATAATAATAATCTTTTTACATAATTATTTTAGTAATACAATATATAAGTATATGATAAATGGTTTTTTTTATATAAATAATTATTTTAAAAATAAAATATATTATCTATATAAATTAAAAATATTATCTTGAAAGACAAAACCTTAAAAGATTATATTTTATGTAAAGCAACTTTAATTATTTTTATTTCACTAAAGTATTTTTTGAAATATATATTTAATATAGTTATTTATCATAAATATATAAATAATTTAATATATTTAAAATTATTAATTTATTTTTAATTTTAATTATATTGATTAAAAATTTATCGTGCGTAGTGTCTCCAAATCTTAGTGTAAATATTACAACCGCTAACTCAAGGTCATGGGTAAGGTAATTCCTTTCATGAATTTTCAATTGCCTAGAAACATAAACTACTACCTTTCCTTCTTGCATCAACACTCCACCCAAATCCATCTTAGAAGCATCATTATATACCACAAAAAACTTACTAAAATCTGGTAATATTAACGGTAATCAATCTTTCTTTAAGAGTTTGGAAACTACTCTCACACTTGTAACACCCCAAATTTTTTACTAATACTACGAATAATTATTATTTATTTTGTATTTATGAGGATTATTTCCTTATAATTATTTTGATTAATTAAATGGGTTTGATTGAATTTTTAAAGGTTTTTAATAATAATCATTTATGAAAATTATTTTTTATAATATTATTAATTATGATATTTTGTTATAATTATTATTTAAATATATATATATATATATATATGTGTGTGTGTGTGTGTGTGTTATTTATTTATTTATTAATTAGTAATTCTGGACTTTCATAGTCCTAGAACGGGCCGTTCCACTTTGGGAACGGGCCATTCCAACTCGAGCAAGCATGGGTAAAATTTCAACCCAGAACGGGCCATTCCACTTTGGAAACGGGCTGTTCCGGATGTGGCTTAAAGAACAAAGTATTGACTCAGAACGGGCCGTTCTAGATTCGGAACGGACCGTTTTGGGAGAGGCTTTTGTACATGTTCTATGTGTCCAAAACGGGCCATTTCGGATTCGGAACGGGCCGTTCTGGCCAAATCCTGATGCCTATAAATGCGTTCCGGCACTCCAGAAAAACGCATTTTTTCACTTTTGAACCTTTTTCTTCTACACTTTCTGGAGACCAAGGGGAAACCGGAGGAGGAGATTCTGTTTCAGTTTCAACCCCTGTTTATCGAGGTAAGGGGGGAGTGAGAAACCTCACTCTGGTGTGGGATTGTATGTTGGGTAGTGGGATTAGCCCCCAATCCTGTGTTTGTTGCATGTCATATTTTTCTTGTATGTTCCAATTACTTAATTAATATGCGTGTATGAATAGAAACTTTGTTTAGGCTATGATTGTGGAATTTGGTGCTCCTATGGGTTCCAACGGGAAACCCTAAGGGAGTGCATTGATGCTTGTATGAGTAAATTAATTGCGATAATAATTATATACGTGAATTGTCTTATTTTAAATGTTTATTGCATAAATTGGAACGCTCTGTGGGTTCTTGAGAGAACCCTATGAGCAGCAGGCAAAATAGGAATATTTATGTTTTGCCTTCTGTCTATTCCGTTATATTCCCTATTAAAAGAGATGTGTGAATGTGTGTTTAATTTTGAAAATAAACAAGTTTTGATATGAATTAGAGTGCTCTGTGGGTTCCTGTGGGAACCCTATGAGAAACAAATATATTTCTAATATTTTATGTTTTACCTTCTGATTGTTCTGTTGTATTTCTTGTTGTACGAGATGTATGAATATATGTTTACTTTCGCAAATAGATGAGTTCTGATATGGATAAAAGTGCTATGTGAAAATTGTGAATATGATGTGATAATGCGAATGTGATGATGAAATGTAATGATGAGATGTGATGATGAGATGTGTTGAGACATGATAATGTGATATGGGAATGAGACATGAAAATGTGATATGAGAAAAACATGGAATCTTGATTGATATGCATCATATGCATAAATGTTTTTTTAAGGGTACGATATGGAATACACTGTGACACCCTTACTACCTCCAACACATACATCATAATAATGTAATTAAATTAAGAAAAATAAACTTTAAAAGTTGGTAAAAGGGTTCACATAAACTTCATAACTGTTCTTTCTTCAATATCCAAAATAACTGGAAATAAAACTTGGAAGGTAAAATTTAAGAGTTTATACAAATTGTTTTCAAAAGACAAGGTATAACTCAGATTACATATAAAAATCTATATCCTATAATTTTCTGCCCCGATGTCACAATATCATAACACACCCACAATTTAACTGTTGGCATCCTAGATGTCACTCAAAGCCGGATCTTCCTCACCTAAAACATCCACAAATTGTACGGTGAGAAAAGAAAGCATCTATATATATAAAGTACATAAGGAAAACGCAACATATCGTCTCATTAGACTAAAAAAATATTCATAAACATTTCAACATATCATAACTCGATCAATCATACATCATCATCATGTCATAATTCGCAATCACACCAATCATCACAAATCTTGCCCTTCACACTATGCCAAGGTCACGTTACCCATTTAACAATCCAAGGCCATGCTCACCCATGATATAACACTATGCCAAGGTCACGTTTCCCCTGTAGCATATCTAGCCCAGGGTCGTGCTTACCCCCGACATGTTAACCAAGGTCACGATACCCACGTAACAATCCAAGGCCGTGCTCACTCCTGATATAACACTGTGCCAAGGTCACGTTACCCCTAACCCAGGGCTGTGCTCACCCTTGACATGTTAACCAAGGTCACGATACCCACGTAAAAATCCAAGGCCGTGCTCACCCTTGATATAACACTGTGCCAAGGTCACGTTACCCCTAACCCAGGGTCGTGCTCACCCCTGATATAACCTGGTCATAGGTGTGAATAACCACAATCACATCTCATTCACATTCCACACAACATCTCATAGTTCAATTTTGTACACACATCAGATAACTCCAAAATAATGGGTTTCATACACCTCAAGCAATTCACATCTAAATCATCAATTTTTATCAATTAATATTATAATCAATGGAATTAGAATTACACATTTAATATAATCTTAACATAAACGGTAAAACCCCCAATTGTTCGAAAACCTAACTCACATGCACTTTTCTACAATTTTGTTCTCTCTTCCAGATCATCATTCTTACAAATTAAATATATATTTCTAATCCTCAACACATACAGAATCTAATAGGATCATTAACTCCTCAAACAGAAATAATCCAATTTTTCCAAAACCTAACTTACAGACACTTTTCTATAATTTCGTTCTCTCTCCCAAAGCATCATTTTTACAAATTAATCATATATTCATACTCCTAAATACATACAAAATCACATAAGACCAATAATTCTCCAAACAAAAATAATTATAAAATTACTCATAATCCTAAGCGACTCTTCCTCTACCCAATTCCCTCATTTAACTCTACATATAAATAATCTCCTTTTCCCCCGTACCTAGATAAATAGTAGCTGAAACTAAAACAGAGATCTCCTTGGTCTCTTCCTCTGAGTGTCTCTCGGTCTTTAGAGAGTGTAGAAGGAAAAGAAGAGAGCAAAGAAGAAAAGAAGAGAGAAGTGAAAAGTGTGCTTTTGGGAGTGCCAGAGTGCTCTATTTATAGGATCAGATGTCTCCGGAACGGCCCGTTCCAAATCCGGAACGGCCCGTTCTGGACCCTTAAATCTTGAGTAAAAATCACATCCAGAACGACCCATTCTGGGGTGCATTTAATACTTACAACTGTCATGTTTTGGAACGGCCCGTTCTCAACTCTAGAATGGCCTGTTCTAATTCTGGAATGGTCCGTTCTGGACTACCAAAAGTAGGTCTATTTAGTAATTTGGAACGGCCCGTTCCGGGCTACTAAACCACCTTAATTGGGCTCTTGGCCCATTGAAAATTAGGCTGTTACATACACCGCCAGAGAAGGCCCCCTAATGTAAAAGCTTTGGGGATTAGTCCTTGGGGATAGCTCGGTTTGGAATTCGTAGTCTCGCCCATTGTGTGCATGGGATGTTTCTTGCGCGGCTTAGCTATCCCAACGAGACTCTGGTACTATATCCTTCTAGTGAGAGTGCGTAGAGGGTGTGTTCCTGCATGTACTCCTAGACTACTCTTCGTGTATTGCTAGCGGCAATATGCCATGTGATATTTTACTGGCGCCACAAGCATGATAATATGTAGTCCGTGTCCATGCATGTGGATTCTTATTATTAAATGAGGATAAATTAATATTTGTATGACTTGGATGATTGGATAAGCTATTGTTGTTGATTGATCTGAGGTAACTGTATTGTTTGTGTTTGGCTATCCGGTGTGCTTTCCTACACCGTGAGCCAGAGTGAGATGTTTCTCACTCCCTTCTTTTGTGTTGTTTCTCTTGTTTGATATACAGGAGACCATCAACAGCATGAGGCTGAGGATGTGGACGATGGAGCTTAGGCTTCTATATGGGATTTTGCTCTGATAGGACAT